ATCAGCGGGCCGGAGAAGGAGGACCCTGGAGACATCTCTACAGCATCGACCCGGAAGCCGCCATCAGCGGGCCGGAGGACGAGGAGAGGAAGACATCTCTCTAGCAGGCAGCCCAGAAGCTGCTGTCAGCGGATTGGGGGACAAAGACACGGCAAGCCGGGACGGCGCAGCAGAGGAGTCTACTTCGCTCTGATCAGTTCTACCCGTGAAGGGAAAGCTGCATCTCCCCCTCCCTATTAGCTGTCCTTGTGGGCTATTCCTCCGAGGGGGGGGGGGGGTGATGATTCTAGCACTCAGCTACCCCCTCATGGTTCCTTCACTGCCATGGAAAGTGGTGTTCTGTCTCCATGAAGGTTTCAAGTACTCTAAATACCAGCTTCGGATGGATTTACGGACACAGTAGAAAAGAATGACCGTGGGTATATTTCAAAATGCCTTGTCTAAGTTTATCTCTGGAGAAGGAGATAAAAAGGGGGATTTGTAGAGTTATATTTGTATTTATTCATGTTAGCAAACTATGGATAAGCTTAAAATGGGAATAATTTGGGTAAAACTGTGAGCTGCATTTGGGGCCTGTTGACATGTGTTTTTGAGGACAAAGGAAGATGGGGGAAGGTGAGAGCATGTCCTGATTTGCATTCAACTTAGAACGAGCTACAGTGGTTGTGATGTTAAGAGAGGTCCCTTGGGTTTCTCTGGTGCTTATCAATAGTAGCAGTTAAGTGAATACTGTTCAAACAATACCTGTGTTTGTGTTTTATATTGATTTCTCTGTTTTATCCTTTCATAAATGTAAGGACTACAAATGGCTATAAACATTCTGGGCTGGTTGGAGTAAACAGGGTTTTATGGCTCTGTGGGGGAGGTGTAGGTATGCAGGCCTTGAGACCTTTTGTTGGAAAGTGAGCCTGTTTGGTTTCCTGCTGCGTTTCCTGCTGCGTTGCGTCTCCCAATGAGATGACCTGAAAAGATGACCAGCTGACCTAACACCAAACCCCTCCTTCTTACTCTGGTATATATCCGGTGGATCCCTGGCGTTCGGCCTCTTCTTCACATGCTGCCCTCGGGTGAAAGTAGCTCTGTAGTATGCGGACTAGAGCAGGAGTAAGCCGGCATTACTCCTTAAGCATTGCAATATAACTGTAATATATCATGTTGTATTGTAATGATTGTATTGCATTGTCATATTGCCATTAAAGTAGATTATTGTTAACGGTTACTTTGTAGATATGGATTCCTTCCTGTATTATAACCAGCTTCATAGGAACGCGCGGAGATTTGAAAAGCGGACCAGTTATCCCTCCAAATCTCCAACAGTGTGTGTGTGAGAGAGATCGAGAGACTCCTTCTCCAACCTCCCAAACTTTCTTTTTATGTGTGCATTGTTATTTGTGCTTGAGCAACATTTTACTTGAACTTTATTTCAATGAAATTAGTTGTAATTATTGTCCTACATTTTAATTTGTTTTACAGAGATGTTTCACAGCTGTCTGGGCCTAGTGGCCCACAGGCGGCGTTTATCCAGCAGCCAGAACATCCATCTGTGCCTGCCCCCAGGTCAAGATCTACCGTGGCTCAAGGGCCTTCACCAGAGCCATCACCACCAAGGACCAGCAGACCAGCATCACTACAGCTGCCTCCACCTCCATCTGCGGCTGCCACCAGGTCAAGATACACCTCAGCACAAAGACTCCACCACAGCCATCACCTTCAACCCAGCCAGCAAGGAGGTCTCGTGGAGGTCTCGTATAGCACTTGTACACCCCACCTACACAGCAGCCCATGCACCATCACCCCCATCTTCACAGCAGCCAGACCCACTGTCTTGGAAGACAGACAAAGACCTTGACACTGTCTTGACATTTATAATGAATAGTTGGTTGAAAGTTCTGATGTTCAATATTGTAAATAGTTAGATTTTCCAGTTTCTTATATTTATATAAATAGTTAGTTGAAAAAAACATATTTATAATAAATTGTTGGTTTAAAAAAAAGGTTGAATGCTCAATTTGTATTTGTACACATCACATGAACCTTGGTATGTAATATGAAGTCATTATTCAGTCCTAATGTATCTCAGTCCCTGCTGTGGTGAAAGTAGAGTGATAAACACCTGTTTTACTCAAAATTCGAATTGAATTTTTTTCATTTTAGACATGAATAACACATTTATATACAGTGTAATTCAAATATTTCACTGCTTTTGTGATCCTAAGACTTTGGTAACCAAATCTAAAACACCAAAACAATTCGATCACATGAGTAAATTTGTGTTTTCACAAAAGTTTTGAAGATTTTCCGAAAATCGGATGTCAAATTTTAAGCTTTTGAGCTACTTATCTCATCAAACAGTTCTCTAAGTTGAGTAATTTGCATATATAGCAATACTAGAGATTGTCCTGAACATTTTGATATTTAACACATGGGGTGCCATGTTAGAAGAAATATATTTAAAAGGTGATTTAAGAAAACATCTAAAAATCGAGAAAATACCCTTAGACTACAGGGGGTTAACAGTCACTCATTTATTATTCAGATGGATCAACTGATTATACTAATAATAGTCAAAATAGTTTTTAGAATATTGAATTATAGTGTATTTTTTCAAAAAAGCAGTTTTTTAGTTAGTGAGTAATGACTAAGATTACTGACTCTTGACTTACCTGAAATGTTATTTTTAGTATTTTTAAATATGAAGTCCCTCAGATCGCGTTGTCCTCCTGGTTGCTTGGCCATTGTGATGACCGTTACCTGCGCTTCTGGCATCGATCAAACAGGCGCATCACGGCGCCCTCTAGGGCACTCGCATAGTATAGCGTCAGTGACTTGGTAAAAATGTCATTGTGTGTGTGCATGCTCCCTATCCCACAGTATTTTACTCAAAATGCGCAAAATTAATGTTGAAATAGCAGTAATACCAGTGCCACGTTCATTGATAAAATTACATAAGGGATGGAAAGGGGGAATGGCAGTTTTAGAAGGGGGATGATTTTGACCGTTTTTATTTCAGGGGGGATGCCATCCCCCCTCATCTCGAGTACTGAATGTAATGCTAACTAACGTGCTCACTACTAGCTAGGTAGCTAACTTGACTATGTTCCATGCAAAACATGTATATTACCTGATATGTTTGGTCCAACGACTCCTGGTCCTTTCATCAGGAAGGGAAGCGATAGAACGAGCAAGCAACGTGTATGATCACTTTTGTGATTCCAACCTGGTACAAAGCACACAGGCATCTTATAAAAGTGAATTTATTGGAGCAATCTCTTATATTTATTGGAGGAAATAAATCAGTTATGAGATCTTCTTCTTCTTCTTTGCTTTAATTACGAGTCGCAACCAGTTATCGCCTATGACATCACTTACGCGACCCAGAATGGGATTTGTAGTCTTTCTAGTTGCGTATTTTTCATAGTCTTATATTTCAACAGTTTTACGACAAACTGTGACTTTGTTTACATGGAAATGATTGTTTAAGATTGACAAACATCATATGTGTCATTCGTGGCACAATTCAAACGGGATCAAAAGATAACTTTTCTCTCTCCATTGACTTCAATGTATAATTTTCCGCTTCCGGGGTCCCATGGACCGGAAGTAGATGGGCGTGACTTCGCCTCTCTATTGTGTGAACCTGCCTGATTGCTAGCTTGACCCATATTTAGCTAGTTATATTTGCTTACAAAACAGTGATTCTAATAATACTAGTTTGGATTCCTAGACATTTGAACTCAAGACAGTATTAAAAAAATACATCATATCATTTTAGATCATATTTTACCTCAGAAACACACTTTTGCTGATATCTTACGCGAGAAATTCAAACGTGGCTCCTTTTTTTCTCAGCGATCTTACCATCTAACTGCGCATGTGCAGACAGAGTGAGTTTCATCACTCTAGCTTGTTTGTGATTGGAGATATTGAAGGTGTTACAACCTGGTTACAACCGACCCGTGTTACAACTGTCCCTGGTCTCCCCTACAGCGCTAAAGACGATAATAACCAGGGGTGCACATAACTTTTTTGCCCTGGTTCTCAAAGAAGCACCTGGAGATGTTGCTTGGTGCTCATCCTTAAAATGAAATAAACTGTAACTTTTGAGGGGGTCTTGACTTTATTTGCCAGACACACGGCACTGAACACACATGCAGAGGTGAACACAGAACACACATGCAGAGGTGAACACAAGACAACATTAGCACGACCAGTAATCCTACAAGCTGTCATCACTACCCTCCTGACTGTTCTCCTCACTGTCTTCCTCAGACATGGTAGCTGATGATGTAGGCCTACTTCTTTCTCTCTGGTTGAGAGAAATTAGCTATTAGCTATTAGCTGCTTGCATCCACAAGTCAACAGCTGGTTTTGGGTCGAAAGTCTCTGTTGTCATCTTAGACAAGTGGATGTAATCAAATAAGTATGTGAACATAACCAATAACCTACCATAGCCAATAACAAATTAATGTAACTTATTTTATTGTTGTTGTTCATATCTTATTTTACCTTAACATTTATTTATGTTTTTTTTTTTTAATCTCCAGTTTTAAAGGATATTTTTGGTTACTGTCCTATAGTAGCCTATACATTGGAATGATTTCAAACCTATTTATCCCAATAATTATAAAGGAGTGCCTTGGAAATATGTGTTTACATAAATTGTGACCAAACCGTTTGAGACCCACTGAGATAACTTAGACTAAAGTGAACTATCTAAACACTCAAGAGTCCTTACCTCACTGAGCTGTAGTTATCAGCCTATCAGTCTTACTGGTGAGAGCTCTCCTCCACATTATTGTAGAAACATCTTCTTCTTATATCCGTTAAAGCAGCTAGCACCAGATTCTAATAACAACAGCGCTGGTACCGGTGCACCCTCCCTCTCTCCCTCGCTCACTCGCACTTTGGCTGTGAGCTGCGGGCGCCAGATAAGCCAACATCCCCCATTTTCATCACTTACAGCGCCCATCGTGCAGGGCAAATGAAACGTGTAACCGGGGTGAAAAGGGTGTTACATTGACTTAATTATGAATATTGTTACATCAAGGCCGAAAATCAGGATGAGCACTGTAGTAACTCACAGGAGGCTTCTGGTGAGCATAGTGGAGTTTATTGGTTTCTGGTAGCGCCGAACTGCGACTCTGGTTCATCACATACTTAGCATAACAACATAGCCCCCAGTTCCTCTTCTATGCTTATGGAACGGCAACAACTTCAATGTCACAGTGCCACCTAGTGGACTGGTGAACTAACATGCAATGATATGACCTTACAACATCCCCTTCCCCTCAAGCAGGTTATATACATCCAACAGGAACATTGTAACATTTTTTATTATTTTTTATTAAACCTAACAGGTGACTCACAACAGTATTATCTATTCCCTTCTTAGCTCAGCTGGAAATCTTTAAGGTAACTGGGTAACTTAGTCTCTCCTTTTGACTGTCTCTTCCCTGGACTTGTATTTTTCACAGTTCCATGGACCCTCTCTGCTGCTGCAGCTTCTGTAGCTGCTGGCTCTTCCAACTCGTCCCCACTGAGCACCACATTCGCAACGTCCTGCCATGTCTCTCCTTTTTCGGCTGCCTGACTTAGCTGAGTCGAGTCAGTCTGTTGTCTTTCATGGTCTTTTTCTGGTCTTTGGTGGTGAGCATGAATCTGGTCCACATGTCTCCTGACTACTCTCCCATCACCCAGCATCACTTTATATGACACTGGCCCTGTCACTGACTCTATGATTCCTGGAATCCACTTGGGTCCAAGACTGAAGTTTCTCGTCAGCACTGAGTCTCCTGTTTTGAACCAGTGCCCCTTTGCCTTTTTGTCACATGTGATCTCTTATTTGTCTTTCCTGTTTTTCTTTCACCTTCATGCACAGATCTGGACGAATTGAATCCAAACAGCAACGTTCCTCCCGAGAAGCAGCTCTGCTGGTGACAGACCTGTTGTAGTCTGAGGAGTCACACGATAACTAAATAACACTCTCGCTACCTTGGCTGTCAGTGTGCCTTCTGGACATTTTTTCATCATCCTTTTAAATGTCTGTACCCCTCTCTCTGCTAACCCGTTACTGGAGGCGTGATAGGGTGCCGAGGTCACATGATGGATACCATTTCTTTTCAGAAAATCTTCGAACTCTGTGCTGATGAAACAGGTGCCATTATCAGACACCAACAATTCAGGCAGTCCATGGTTACTGAAACTGGTACGCAGGCATTCAATTGTAGTGGCTGAAGTGGCAGAATTGACTGGAACCACATCCATCCATTTTGAGTGTGCATCGATGAGCACAAAAAACATCTACCCATGAATGGCCCAGCATAATCCACATGAATACGACTCCAGGGCTTATCAGGCCAATCCCAGGGGTGTAACGGAGCTGGTGCCGGAACATTTCGGTGCTCTTGACATGTTATACAGGACTTGACAGTATCCTCTACATCCTTGTCGAGCTTTGGCTACCATACATAGCTCCTAGCCAGTGCTTTCATCCTGGACACTCCTGGATGGCATTGATGAAGCTGTCTCAAAACACTTTCTTGTCCTGGCTTTGGCACAATAACTCTTGCGCCCCACAACACACACCCATTTTGGATACTGAGTTCATGTTTCCTCACTGCATAAGGGCCAAACTCAATCTCTTTTAATTCTGATGACCAGCCTCTGTTTACCAATTCCCGCACCCGTGAGAGTACTGAATCCTTGTCTGTCCATACTTTCACTTGATCAGCAGTCACAAGTCTGATGTCAGAACTCTCCAGCATGAGAACCCTCTCTTCTGGCCTCCCCAGGTCAGGTTTCTCTGGTAGGGGCAGGCGGCTCAGTGCGTCTGCATTGTTGTGGTACTTCCCTTCTTTGTACACTATGGTGTATTCATAGGCTCTCTAGGTCACGGCCCAACGTTGGATCCTCGGTGATGCCATTTGGGGTACTGCTCGCATCTCACTGAAAAGTGACAACAGGGGCTTGTGATCCGTCACTATAGTAAACTTCCGTCCATAGATGTACTTGTGGAAGCGTTTTATTCTAAAAATCACTGCCAGTCCTTCCTTGTCAAGTTGTGAGTAGTTTTTCTCTGCAGCATTTAATGTCCGTGATGTAAATCCAATGGGTCTTTCAGTTCCATCTGGCATGCGATGTGAGAGCACAACACCTAATCCATATGGTGATGCGTCACATGATAGCACAATGTCCTTCTCTGGGTCATAATGCACCAACACTTCAGCTGACTGCATCATGTCTTTTGACTTTTCAAACGCTGTCTGTTGTGCATCTTCCCACTGCCACTTTGTGTCTTTTTTTAGCAGTTTGTGCACTGGAGCAAGGATGGTTGACAGACTGGGCAGGAACTTGTTATAATAGTTTAACAGTCCTAGATATGCTTTGAGCTCTGTCACATTTGAAGGTGTGGGTGCATCCTTGATTGCTTCTACCTTCTCATGCACAGGGTGCAGTCCTGTGGCATCCACCTTATGACCTAGAAACATCACTTCCTCACTCATGAACGAACACTTGGTTCTTTTGAGCCTGAGACCGGCCTCCTGTAGCCGTTTCAACACAAGGACAAGAGTCTGCAGATGCTCTTTGTCGTCTTTCCCTGTCAGCAGGATGTCATCCAAGAATATTGCCACTCTAGGGATGCCCTGTAGCAGTCCCTCCATGGTCCGTTGAAAAATAGCTGGGCTAGATGATACTCCGAAAGGTAACACTTTGTACGTGAACAAGCCCTTGTGTGTATTTATGGTCACATATGTTTTTGCTTCTTCATCCAAAGGGATTTGGTGATATGCATGACTGAGATCTAGCTTTGTGAACTTCTGTCCACCTGACAGGTTGGCAAACAAATCCTCAATTCTGGGAATTGGATACTGCTCCAGTTTTGATACTCGATTTACAGTCAGTTTGTAATCACCGCACAACCTTACTGAGTCATCTGGTTTTAACACCGGTTCCACAGGCGCTGCCCACTCTGCATATTTTACCGGTTCAATTATCTCCTGGGCTAGGAGACGGTCCAGTTCGGCCTCAACCCTTCCTCTCATTGCATACGGGACCGGTCTAACTTTAAAAAACCTGGGGGTTGCTTCCTTGTCCACATAAAGTTTAGCTGGGGGCCCTTTACATTTCCCTAGTTCCTCTTTGAAAACCTCCTCATATTCCCCAAGTACCTCCTCCAATGTCTCTTCCCTGACATGGTGAATCTGGCTTTCCGGTCTCCACTGCAAACCTAGCTTCTTAATCCAGTTCCTGCCAACTAGACTAGGGCCCGTCCCTGGCACAACTACCACCGGTAGGTTTTTTACTGACTGTTTGTGCTGCACTTTTACCATAGCTGCTCCCAAAACATTTACCCTATGTCCTGTGTATGTTCTGAGCCTCACTCTGCAGGGTTGTAGGGCTGGTACCTCTCCCCTCCATAAGATTTTGTACACTGAGTGGTTCACCACTGTTACCCCACATCCTGAGTCTACTTCAAACTGTGTTTCAGTTTAGTTAATAGTCAGTGTTTCTAGAAATGGCTCCTCTGCCGGTATGTCTATTTCCTCCACTTTGTACAAAGTGAACATGATCTCATCTGTGTCTATGTCATCTTTTTCGCCCTCCCCCTGGCTGACATAGTTTGCTCCCTGAGTTTTCACATGCTTATAACTCTGATATACTCCACCCCCTTTTGCTTGTGAAGCACTAACTGAGCCTTTTTGATCTACACACTTTCTGAATATGGCCTATCTTCCCACACTTGTGACAGGTTTCTTTAATAAACCTACAGTCCCCAGCTATGTGCTGCTCACTGCCACACCTGTAACAAGCCTTATGCTGGTGCTGCTGCTCACTGGGGCTCTGCCTTGCCGTCATCTTGTGCACTGCCTCAGGTGCTCTCATGTGCGAGGGTGCTGACTCCAATGACTGTAAGTCTCTCACATTCTTGCTGGCTGTCTCAATAGCCTGGGCCAGCTTCAGTGCCCTGTCGAAGGTCAAATCCGGCTCTGACAACAATCGCCGTTGTATGCGATCCTCCCCAATCCCACAGACCAGCCTGTCACGCAGCATTTCTGTTAACTTGTCTCCATAGTTACAATCTTGTGCTAATTTCCTTAGCACAGCAACGTACTCCATGACTGTTTCTCCCAGCTTCCTACTTCTTGAGTTAAATTTGTAGCGCTGTACAATTTCACTGGGTTTGGGGTTGAAATGGTCTTTCAGCAGCTGAACAAGCTCATCAAACGTCTTCTCTCCTGGCCTCGCCGGGCTGATAAGGTTCCTCATAAGGCTGTAAGTCTGACTGCCAACTGAACTGAGCAAAATAGCTTTCTGCCGACCTGCATCTTCGATCTCATTAGCTTCAAATAAATATTGGAGAACCTCACAATATTCCTCCCACGTCTGGGATTGACTATCAAAAGGAGCGGTGTTTCCTACCATTGCCGCCGCCATCTTCTAGCTCACACCACTGTCCGGTGCCGTTAACGTAGCCACTCAACAGTCTCGCTCATTTGTGTGCATTTCCACCAGGCATCTGCTTTACTTTTATCCTCGTCGCCATTATGTAGTAACTCACAGGAGGCTTCTGGTGAGCATAGTGGAGTTTATTGGTTTCTGGTAGCGCCGAACTGCGACTCCGGTTTATCACATACTTAGCATAACAACATTGCCCCCAGTTCCTCTTCTATGCTTATGGAACGGCAACAACTTCAATGTCACAGTGTCACCTAGTGGACTGGTGAACTAACCTGCAATGATATGACCTTACAACAAGCACCAACGGTCAAAAATATTTGTTCCCCTCCCAGAACTGCCAGCGCAGCGCCTCCACAGATCTGCCGCCCTAGGCGAACATCTATAACGCCAGTGCTACAGGCCTATGGAAGCAAACAAGAGACAGAAGTATTTGAATTGTATTAAACACCGAATTTATAACATTGAAAATAATTACTTTGAAAATCATGTATCTAAATGTTTTTGCTCCGAATTTACCTATGTGAAATAAAAATGTAAAAATTCAAGTGAAAAAAATTCGAATGTTCAAATTCAGATCCCAAAAATTCGACGTCAAAAAATTCGATGTATAAAATTCGATGTCCAAAATTGCGATGCAGCATCATCCGGGCTACGCAGACAGGATAAGCAATCGAGCCCTAATGCAACCCCGACTTCTGGCCTATCAGAGCACGGCTTTGTGAGTCATGTGATCACAACAACACGGGAGAAAAATGACGGAGAACAGTGGGGCTCGCCGCTCGGGTAAGTAGTCGGTTTGTGCTCTTTATTTTACAAGCAGTGAGGGCTCGACAGCATTTGTATCTTACATTAGCTAGCTAAATGAGTGAAGTAGCCTTGTGCCTTGCTGTTAGCAAGCTCCGTTACCATTAATTGAAGTGAATCACAACGTGTGTGTGTGTGTGGGTTGGTTGGTTGGTTGGGGGTGACGGTTTGCAAAGTAACGTAACGATCACTTCGGTTAGATAAGTCAAGTAGACCATGCTACACTATACGAAATACTCTCTTACAAAAGCCCTGCATTTAAACATGTTAATGTTACTTTAGTAAAAGTATGCTAGTATAATTAGGAAAGTGTTGTTAAAGTAGACACAAGTTATACTATGATATTATATCATTTGATTTATTGTTATTACCGATGCACGAGTTGACTTAACTGTTGTAGTTGGAGCTCATTTTGAACAATGAGCTAACTAATTATTACTTTCATAATGGTGTAATGTGCCAACTATTTTCTACATTAATAGATGAAGGTCTGGTTTGTTCAAACTCTCAAAATAGTAGGACCAGAGCCCGAGAGACTCTAGGGCTCTGAGTAGGACATGCAGTCATAATTACCCAGAGTCCGAAGTGACACCTTTACAATGTTAAAGCTGTTAGATAAATGTAGTGACGTAAAAACTAAAGTATTCAAGATAGTGTAGTGAAAAAGAGATGTTTTTTTTAAAAAATGTTACCAAAACAAAATCTCTTGTTTTGGACTGACAGTAATAATTCAAGAAATAGTAGATAAATAAATACACACATCAATTTGTTGTGGATGGAACACAACAAATGGTGCTCTTACCTGTGATGCCTCCTCCAAACATTATAACCAGACTGTATCATTCAAACTATAAGTAACAGTTCTAGCTACTTGACTTCAGACAAACAATTCAAAAGACAAAATCAACACAATTTATTGAAAGAACAATCTTTATTTCTCTCCTTTGGTTTGTGTTATTAAACCCTATCAATCTAAAAAACTGAGCAACTCAACAGTTAACTTTATATTTCTTATTGTCCAAAGCATCTATTACACTATTTGTTCCCCTCTCATATTCACAGGATGGATGATTAGAGACTTTGGGGGAAACCTCAGCTTTATGAACGTCCTGTCTGTTGCTTTGGCCAGATAGGGCTGAGGGTCTTTCCCTCCTCGCAGGGAAAGACCCTGCAGGCCTGAGGGAGGAGGACCAGACCTGATGGAGGAGGACCTGCACCAGCTGCACCTACAGAACTTAGCCCATGCTGGGCATAGCTGTTACCACCTGCACAGGCCTAGCCTGTCAATTAACAGATTAACATTTAGTGTAACTTATGTATATTATTTCGTTTTTATTTAAAAAAAAAAAATGGTGATGGTTCATGCTTGATAACTTTTAGTTCACATTTCAATAAATTGTATTTGCACTCCTTTTGTCCGTTATTCTTGCTGAAAATGTTAGATTACACATTCACATCTGAATGAAGATTGGCACCATTTATTTATGACGTTGCAAACTCTGCGGTACAAGGCACAAGTGATGTGAAGCTCAAAGTGAGGCAAATGCATTTGATCAGCTGACTTTTTTTTTTTGCCAAACTTTATAGGCCTGACAATAATCACACTGTCCCTGAGGTGCAACGTAAAACACAAAACAACACAAATGAAGTTCCTGTTAGACTACAAAACTATTCAGTGTGCAGGTCTTTGTGTTACAATACAAGTGTCTCTTAGTGAATGTCCTGTACTGCTCTTAAATCTCATAACATCTCCTTTCCCTCTTGGATGTTCTTCTGGACCCTCAGAGAAAGAGAACATGGTGAAGCAGTCCTGTCTCTCAGGCATGTCCTTTCCTAGCAGAAATATCAAAAAACATATTATTGCAGAGCAAGTGTGTTATTTAAGAAAGAGGTGTGTTTGTTTGTTCATAAATATAATGATTTTTTTATTTTAATGTGTTTTTTAAATCCAACAGTGTACTGCAAAGATAATCAGATTATGAATAAACCGTTCTAAATTCATCAACATTGAAATAAATGTATTATTAAAATAATATTTAACTGTTATCAAAACTTAGTGCAACTGTAGAAGCTTGCTCTGTCCGGTTGTCTCACTGAAAGACAAAGGGTCGCAGCTCTCACTATGTTCAATAATATTTGCCTTAAATACATTGAAATGTGAAAGTTGAACAAAAAAGTGATGTTGCTTGGTAAAATGTAAATGTAACCTTTTGCTAAGAAAGTACACTCAACATCACTGATGTGTAGGTGATCTAGTATTCACTCAGTCATGTTTAATGGCATGTATATCAGTGTATTAGAGTCATTACTTTATGCATTCTTTGTAAAGCATGAAAAAGGTGTACCTTGGAATCCGTGCTGAAGTTCTCTGCTGCTAGGACTCCAGATCTGTCTCTCCTCCTCTGGTCCTGTCTGCATCACCTTAAGGACACTTTGAACAAACAGATGTAAAGTTACATGCATGGGTTACAGACTTCTTTACATGCAAACTACTTTTTATCTTCTTTTAAAAACAGGTCATAATCTTATTGTTATACTTAAGAAATTGCTGGATATCACAGTCCTTATACTGTATCAGTTTGATTGAGTATTATTGTGTAGGTCCTTTTTATTTTACTGTTACTTTGGATGAGGTTTTCATGAGTCAGTCAAATTAAATTGTTTTCATATGCCATATTCATATGTATCACACACATAGGGGTAAGACACAAACCTATTGAACAAATGCAATGCAATGGATAAGCTTAATTTCCACTGAAGTCACAGATAACGTCATATATAATATTTAAACAAATCATTTCCTTGTCACTAAAGCATTGACTACGCTATTCATCGTCCTTAAATGCAGGAATTAAGTTACATGTTCCGTTCTACAGCCACGATAAGGCTGTTTCTCAAGTGTGATGATAATACAATTAAAAGAGGCATTGGTAATAATATTAAAAACAACAATGTTTGGGTCGTTCGTCGGATAGGCGGTTAGCTGCAATAAATAACTCCAGTTCAACAAACCATATTACAATATCTAAGGGAGCGTTATTTCTGGACCATCTTGAAATGTGACGTTCATATTTTAAAGATACACACATTTCATTGTGAGGTTGATTTAATATACACCAGTGCTGGAATTGGGCCGGTACTCACCGGTACGCAGTACCGGCACTTCTGGTTCTGACCCATGGAGTACCGGCACTTCTTGCTCAGTACCGGCATGCTGGCGGTACTCCGGTACTCATGCACCGTGCCAGTACTCAACACTCTCCCGCCGTTCTTATTATACATCCATATATATATATACAGCCGCCCGGTACTCAGTAGATGCGTCATGAGGTGCCGAACGGACATTCTCATCGCTCTAACCGCTGGAGTTTCACAGCGGCTGTCAGCTGTTTACTCCTGTCATTCAAACAGAACGTGCTGGAGAGGGGGCGGGGCTTATCTTCTCCATGTAAATACTGTGGTGGAAACGACTATGTCAAAAGTAACCTATTTGACCGTGATTTAATAGTAATACACGTTTCAAAATAATAATAATAATAATGCCGAAGTAACAACATACTGAAAACTGTTAGTAAAACCATGTTTTAATGCTTTACAATTTACATACCTAGATGCACGTGTGTTGTGTTTATGCAGTGCAACTCCCACCCAGTGGGTGGCTATGTAGAGTGATAGAAAAGAGCAGGCACGCCCCCGAGAGAAGGAAAGCAAGTCACGTCACAAATTAGCATTTCTAAAATGTTAGCGTGGATTAATAAAAGTGCAAAAAGACAGCGGTTGTCGCCGGAAGAAACTTCAAATACAGAGAATGCTGTGCCTGTGTTGGAAATTGTGTCTGATGGGGAGCTTTCTTTGGTTGATCCTCCTGCTCCAAGTTCTAGTGCATTAGCATTAGCACTAGCTCCGCCGCCTCCTCCAGAGCCTCTAACGTTAGCTGCTGCTGGCGCAACTTCCACCACCAACACCGGGCAAAGCGATGCACCTGACTGCTGGACAACGGACCAGGTGCAATATGTTTGCAAGACCAATGCATGGCTCCTTCTTAAAGATAAGAAGCTAGGATGTCGGATATGCAGAGATGTCAAATCTTTGGGAATACACACTGGACAAGGACTGAAACTGTCAACTGAATGGGGTGAGTGTGCAGTGTCTCATTTCGGTGTTGACAAGGGCAAACAACAAGCTAGCCTGAGAAAAAAAAATCAAA